ATTTTTATTCAATGAAAATCTTTCAAATGCGACTGTAGGTTTTTTTTTCCCCAAAACTTTGTATTCAAAATAAGGGTGTGTCTTATACACCAGTGCGTCTTATATTCCGAAAAATATGGTACCTATATAGATCAGAACTGAAAATAGACACAATAATTAATAATTTTATACACTGGTCTAACTAGCAGCATGCAGTGTCATAAAACAGAAACTTATAATGATTAGAAAGCATTGATTCTTCAGTTGGGTATTCTCACTGTTAGAGATATTTTTGGCTGTAAAACAAATTTCACAAGGTTCAGGCAGTTAAATTTAATTAGGTTAGTCTTAAATTCATATACTAAGCTAAAATGCAAAATAATCTTCATAATAAGAAAATATAATTCAGAAAATGAAAACTAGTAATGATATGTATATATTAAACCAATTCTGTTAATGAAGCTAACATTTAAGAAGAATATCTCTATATGGCTTACAATACACATGAAAAATAGTTGTTTGTGTACAGTTTCCAGTACTTTAAAACTATAATGTTTGTTTTTATCTGCATTTTTTTTCACTGAATGTTGAAAACAGTTTTGACCTATAATGACAGTTGTGTTTCTACAGACACAAAAAAGCTAAAGATAGGAACCCCAAGAGAGGAACAACGGAAAGGAAAGTTTTTGAGAGTTTGTGCATCTCGGAAAGATAGTAATAAAAATTGTGATAATAAAACAGATCAGTTTCATTTCATTCAATCAGATAACAGCTTTAGGTTTCAGTTCTCTCTACCAGAGAATGAAATTGAAAATACAGTTTTTACAGAAGATAAAAAAGATGGTGCTTTATGATTATGTATAAACTGTCAATAAATCTTGTAAATATTGTATTTGCAGTATTTTATAATTATTTTAAAGTATCATGATGTATTTCTTCTTGCTCTACCATTATAGAATGGTGGGATAGAGTTGAGACATCAAATACATATAAATGATAACACTGTTTGTCTGAATTCCATGTAGTTTTTTTAAATACAAGTACCACAAATGTTAAAGTATAACTATAATTACTTTATTGGATATTTTATTTTTATATTGTATATGTGCAAAAACTCTTTACACATCATTTAGAGCTAAGGTTCTCAAATTATTTTAGTCAAGAACCCCATCTTATGATGGTTAACATTGGAGAATCTCTTCTCATTTGTTAGGTAACTCAAAATGAACAAACAAATCTGTTTTAAACAAAATTGCATGTATAATTATACAGTTCTATATTTAAATAATCTTTAATATTGACATTTACAGAGGTAAACCCTTTGATAATGATAAAGAAAACACACACACACACACACATAAAAGAAATATATATGTACTTTTATTATTTTTGTACATTTTAATTTTTAAGTTTTACATTTAAGCTTATTTTTGTCTCTACTGTTCCTTAGTTAGACATGCAGGGCATAAGTTTAAACCAATTTTAATATTTTTATCTCACGTCTTTGACATTCTTCTAAATGTAAATCCTACAGCAATGGATCATCTCAGTTCTTTAAATGTAATTTTGTAGTGCCCTTCCATTTGTTTTACACTTTTGTAAAAAAATCAAAGCAATCAAGTTTTCAGTACACAATCTCTGAACTTACACTTTTCAGGAATGGTCTATAAATTTGAAATTTGTAAAGTAATAAGTTTAAAGTGAAACAACTCATACATGTGAAAAACTTGGAAATCTAAGTAGTAGTTTTTGTTGTAGAAATGTATAGACATTTTATCATATCTTTACATTTCAAGCATATAAACCTTTACACTTTATAAGTACCCTTACATTATAAAAATACAGTATTGCAACTTTATAGTATTCTTTTGTACTTTAAGAAAATACACATTTATTCATTCAGAGGAAATTACCATTCACAGACTGAAGATTTGCATCAGGTGGCTCCGTTTAATATTATTAAAAGTCACATTGGCAGAATGTTATGCTTGTAACTTCCCACAAGTTACATGGATACAAAAGACAGGTCCCCCCCTCTTTTTTTTAGCAAGCAAATTTGAAAGGTAATATCACTTCCAAAACTTTTTACACATTTTTATGGTAAAGTTGAAATATCTTATAACTTACAAACATATACAGGAATATAAATAATTGTTGAAAAACACAAATGATATGCTACAGTAGTCACAATCAAAAAAGTAATTACAACCATCTGAGGAACTTATTAATGGTACAAATAAGTTATACTATGTATTAGTGTTTTGTATGTGAGCCCTTTGCCTTACACAGAGTAATCTACTTTGTTTTTATTCTGCCGTACAGATTATGAATGTATGATTGTGGAATTTTGATCCAGAAGTCCTGTATTACTCTTCAAAATTCAGCTAATTTGTTTGGTAGCTTTTTGACTTTCTCAGTTTTTACATAAGTCCATACAGCTTCAAGAATACTTGTGTTGGGACTTTGTGCAGGCTAAGCCGTGATTGTTCCTAGGACCACTTTAACATCAGGATATCAGTGTATGCTTAAGAACTTTGTCTTGCTAAAACGAGAATCATCATATGATGAGTCGTGTTCCTTAGTGAATGCCATGATGGATAAGAATTGCCTGTAATTTTTAGCAGTCAAGGTGCCATCAGATGTGCATAGATCACTGATACTGTTACCTAAGATTCAGCCCTAAACTTGTACTGATCCGCCACCGTGTTTCACTCTAGGTACTGTACATTGACTGTGATACCATTCTCCTCTCCTATCAAACTGTCATTCAGTGTTGCCAAATAATTCTGTCCTGGATTCATGTGTAAAGAACACATCTCCAAGTTCACTAATTCCACTATTTTTGTTCTGATGTTCACTTCATCCTTTTTTTTTTTTTTTTTGCCAATATATATCTTGTTGTTCTTGAAGTACCATTCACATTAAGGTCATCAACAAAATCTTTACATAACAGTTGTCTTTTTTGTTTTTGTAAACCTACCCTGATTTACTTAACATTATTTTTTTTAGTTTCAGTTTTCTACCACAACAACTTCTTTTATTTACAGTTCCAGTTCACATACCCTTTTCAGGGTCTTGTACATATTTCTTATTGAAACATTTATTCTTGCCAAAATGTTTTGCATGGAGTATCTTTAACCGGTCAAAACTTTGGGAGCCATTTCTAGATTAAAACTATTACAAGGCATGTTTTTAATGTACTTTTATAGGCTTTATATGAGTGTTATACTTTCTGATTGGCTGGATAACAACCAGTTACAGCTTAAACTATCATTAAGAGACTTTATTTTGGTGCAGTTCATTTTTGATGTTATAAAGAATAGCATTCCCATAGTATTTCTTTAGCGCACCCTTTTTCCTCACTGTTTTCATAAATATTTCTCATGTTGTATGAAAAACAAAGAGTCTAATTTTGGACATTTTACAACTTCTCACAAATAAAGTAAAGACATTAACTGTCTCTGAAACCGTGGTAAAGTAATTTCTAATAATTTTCTTGGCAGTGGTGATATTTTCATCTAGGGAGTGTAACCATCGTTACTGGTGACTATAGGCTGGCCTATCATGGTTGCTGGATTACATACAGAAACTTTTCTTTATCTGTGTGTAGTAGGGATATTCATAAAGCCCAGAATGAGTTAGTAACACTAATAGTTGAAACAATTTATCATTGTAATGGGTACTAATGCAGTAGTCAAAACCTTGGCTATATACAACTGAAAAATTAGGGTGAGAATGCTTACCCTTTACATTTTTGAAGCCTCTGAAAAGTTAGGAGTTCAGATAGCAACATAGGATTATGTGTTACTATATATTTTGAGAAAAGATTCTGAATGAGATGCAAGAAATATACCATAACAAGCAAAAGTACTCGGCTTCACTGAGTTATTAGGTTGATATATTCTAGATGACTATGTGTATTCTGAACCTATTTTAGCATAGAACAGTCACAAATATTTTAAACATATTTTTGTTTCCCAAAAACATGTAAAAGTACAATAATAATAATAAAATTATTGTAGATAATTATAGATGTCATGTTATCTAACCTATATAAAAGCCAGTGTGTGTGTGTGTTGTGTCACATCACACTTGATTTCTTGAAATAAGAGGAGTCATAATGGCCAAAATTTATTTATCCAGATAGAATAGTTTATTTAATGTCTGCCCATTACAATTTTAGTGAAACCTTGTAAATGTAGTAAATATTGGTATGATTTAAAGAAATTAATAAATAAGCCTAAAGTAAAGACAGTGTGTGAGATAATCTAGCCAAGTGCGTACAATTTGTCATGCAAGTAAAATCCAATTTTAAACTTAAAGCATTTCTGAATTAAATCAACGGAGACTCTAAATTTAGAAATCAACAAATATTTTCTGAATTTTGTAGGTTTTACATTTCATTTTATACTTTCAGTACCTAGACTAACAACAAAATTATGTTATACTTTTGTTGCTAAGCAACATGACATAAAAGCCATTGTTACCAAAATGTTTTTTTTTTCTGTATATTAGAAGTTGTTATAATGGAACCATTTCTTTTCTATGTGGTCTTTTGCTAGCTTGCCTCATTAAAAAGATGCGCATGCATGTGGATAAGATAAATAATACCCAGGTGCACACCCTCAGTGTCCACTTGGTACGGGTGCAAAATTTCAGGTTCCTAGGTTCTTTCTTGGAGCTATGGTGGTCACACACACAGACAGACCCGCCCTTTTATATTATAGGTTTAGTACTAGTAGATGCATATACTTTCTTCTAATCCATGTATGACTGATGTATCACTTGCATATGTGCTGTTCTGTAAAGGATTTTTAGGACCATTGCAAGAGATCACTGTGCTTAAGGCTGGGCTACTGCTTGCACTAAAACAATGATTTTTCAACTGGCTTGCAATTTCCCAGTGTCTGGTTGCATGCAGTAGAGCCCTGGGTTCACTAGAGAAAAGAGTATGAGAAACAAAGTAAAGTTCACTGTGCTTGTTGTTAGACAATGTTCAGAGAATTCACAAATGCTGGACAATTCTACTGACCCTGGAAGCCAGATATACAAGACTTTGTCTTTCTTGCAAGTTAAATATAACTTGGATAAAAAATAAATGTAACACTGTTTGATACTTATTAATTCAAAGTAAAATATGTAATCAAGTTACACTTGAAAATATTCAGTAGTGTTTGAACAGCTCATTAATAGTTCAGATTTACAATTCAATCTCTCTCCAGTTGAAAATTGCTAGACAAACCCTGAGTATACTCTACGTTTTCTTTTAGTTATGAAACAAGCCATTCATGATCTCATAATTAAGAGACAAAACTTTTAAATATTTAAAAATTTCAATTATGTATAACTGAACATATTCCATCATTACCACCAATAAAAACGTGTTTCATTCTTGGTGTGGTGTAGGGTATACAGCAATTTTCATCTCTTGTCAGATGACTACATACTTATGAATATTGCACTTTAAGAAAATGAAAATGCATATTTTTTATCAATGTTAACAAACCACGTTTCTTTCTTAATGTAATTCAAGTGAACCCATTGAATACAGCTGCTCTAAATGCATGCAGAATTTTTGCAAGCCATACACTGTATATAATACACACGCATTCAACTGCCAGAGCCAGACCGTACCCTATATGGCAAATCAGCAGTCAGTGGGTTAACTACCAATGTCTTTACCAAACACCCACATCTTAATATTCTAGCCAAAGTTCCTTATGTTTGAAAATTGTGCTTACTGTATACTTGCTTTCATGTGTAATACAACACACATAAATTTATATGTGATGTAAACTATGTGTGCAACAAATATATACAACAATTGTATCAAAGTAATGCTGATGAAAAATCAACAATGGCACTCTTATATGGTAACTAATGAGAAACAGCATTCTACATCATAGTTGACT